CCCACCAGGCCTATACATTATATCTCTTCGGTTGGGCTAGCCCCATACTACACAGGAACGTCAACCGAGACGTCTCTGTTACCAGCTCTGCAGCTGGTCAGAGCAGTAGTCAAAACATTAAGCAAATCAATGTGTGTGTGTGTCTGTTGGTTAAGTGGTGTGTAGCTAAAAACATTCTCACGACCTCTAGTACATGTCGTGACTTAAACATAAGAACATATTATGGCTAAGGCTACCGTTATACACGTCGTAATAATAATATTAAACACCCTGTCTGCTGACAGTCCTCAACTCTTCTCTCTAGTTATCCTTGACCAGATGTACCCTGTAGAAACTCATAAGCATGACTAAGCATTTAACAGTCTAACTAGACATCCTATCTCCACTAAACATTTCTAATACATAAAGTATCTATCCAATTTCTATCTGACTAAAAATACCTAATACCTGTATGAATAATTCTGCATAATGGCTGGTTGGATGTAAAATCACAAATGACATAGCTCTTAATTGCAGAAACAACCTCAAAGCATCTGAGATGAAACAAGCTCATTCACAAAAAACAACCCCAATAGAAAATGCATTTAAACTAAGTAAATAAAATGTAAAGGGTACATGAGATTTAACAAGCACAATAAATGAAACACAAGTTGTAGAACGATCACATCCTGCACCATGGGCAGATTATGAGACATTTTTTAAACTTATTTTCAGTTATTCTGCTTCTCTTCTTTAATGCTTTGGTTCTCGCTACGGGAGTGATGTTACGTTCACGAAGGATCTGATTCTATTCCAGGGCTCGTTGGTAGGAACGAAGGCATCCAAGTCCTCCTAGAGAGCCGAGTCACCCTAGGGAGCCAAGTCCTTCTAGAGAGCCGAGTCCTCCTAGAGGGCTGACTCCTCCTAGAGGGCCAACTCCTCCTAGAGAGCCGAGTCCTCCTACAGAGCCGAGTCCTCCTAGAGGGCCAAGTCCTCCTAGAGAGCCGAGTCCTTCTACAGAGCCGAGTCCTCCTAGAGGGCCAAGTCCTCCTAGAGAGCCGAGTCCTCCTACAGAGCCGAGTCCCCCTAGAGGGCCGAGTCCTCCTACAGAGTCGAGTCCTCCTACAGAGCCAAGTCCTTCTAGAGAGCCAAGTCCTTCTGCAGAGCCCAGTCCTCCTAGAGGGCCAACTCCTCCTAGGGAGCCAAGTCCTTCTAGAGAGCCGAGTCCTTCTACAGAGCTGAGTCCTCCTAGAGGGCTGACTCCTCCTAGAGAGCCAAGTCCTCCTACAGAGCCGAGTCCTCCTAGAGAGCTAAGTCCTTCTACAGAGCCGAGTCCTCCTAGAGAGCCGGGTCATCCTACAGAGCCGGGTCATCCTACAGAGCTGAGTCCTCCTTGAGGGCCAACTCCTCCTAGAGAGCCTTGTCCTCCTACAGGGCCAACTCCTCCTACAGGCCCAACTCCTCCTAGAGAGCCTAGTCCTCCTACAGGGCCAGCTCCTCCTAGAGAGCCTAGTCCTCCTACAGGGCCAACTCCTTCTAGACAGCCTAGTCCTCCTACAGGCCCAACTCCTTCTAGAGAGCCTAGTCCTCCTACAGGGCCAGCTCCTCCTAGAGAGCCTAGTCCTTCTACAGGCCCAACTCCTCCTAGAGAGCCTAGTCCCCCTACAGGGCCAGCTCCTCCTAGAGAGCCTCGTCCTCCTACAGGGCCAACTCCTCCTAAAGAGCCTAGTCCCCCTACAGGGCCAACTTCTCCTAGAGAGCCTAGTCCTCCTACAGGGCCAACTCCTCCTAGAGAGCCTAGTCCCCCTACAGGGCCAAAACCTCCTAGAGAGCCTAGTCCTCCTAGAGAGCCTAGTCCTCATACAGGCCCAACTCCTCCTAGGGAGCCAAGTCCTTCTAGAGAGCTGAGTCCTTCTACAGAGCTGAGTCCTCCTAGAGGGCTGACTCCTCCTAGAGAGCCAAGTCCTCCTACAGAGCCGAGTCCTCCTAGAGAGCTAAGTCCTTCTACAGAGCCGAGTCCTCCTAGAGAGCCGGGTCATCCTACAGAGCCGGGTCATCCTACAGAGCTGAGTCCTCCTAGAGGGCTGACTCCTCCTAGAGAGCCAAGTCCTCCTACAGAGCCGAGTCCTCCTAGAGAGCTAAGTCCTTCTACAGAGCCGAGTCCTCCTAGAGAGCCGGGTCATCCTACAGAGCCGGGTCATCCTACAGAGCTGAGTCCTCCTAGAGGGCTGACTCCTCCTAGAGAGCCAAGTCCTCCTACAGAGCCGAGTCCTCCTAGAGAGCTAAGTCCTTCTACAGAGCCGAGTCCTCCTAGAGAGCCGGGTCATCCTACAGAGCCGGGTCATCCTACAGAGCTGAGTCCTCCTAGAGGGCTGACTCCTCCTAGAGAGCCAAGTCCTCCTACAGAGCCGAGTCCTCCTAGAGAGCTAAGTCCTTCTACAGAGCCGAGTCCTCCTAGAGAGCCGGGTCATCCTACAGAGCCGGGTCATCCTACAGAGCTGAGTCCTCCTAGAGGGCTGACTCCTCCTAGAGAGCCAAGTCCTCCTACAGAGCCGAGTCCTCCTAGAGAGCTAAGTCCTTCTACAGAGCCGAGTCCTCCTAGAGAGCCGGGTCATCCTACAGAGCCGGGTCATCCTACAGAGCTGAGTCCTCCTAGAGGGCTGACTCCTCCTAGAGAGCCAAGTCCTCCTACAGAGCCGAGTCCTCCTAGAGAGCTAAGTCCTTCTACAGAGCCGAGTCCTCCTAGAGAGCCGGGTCATCCTACAGAGCCGGGTCATCCTACAGAGCTGAGTCCTCCTAGAGGGCTGACTCCTCCTAGAGAGCCAAGTCCTCCTACAGAGCCGAGTCCTCCTAGAGAGCTAAGTCCTTCTCTCCTCCTAGAGAGCCTAGTGACCCTACATGGCCAACTGCTCCTAGAGAGCCTAGTCCCCCTACAGGGCCAGCTCCTCCTAGAGAGCCTAGTCCTCCTACAGGCCCAACTCCTCCTAGACAGCCTAGTCCCCCTAGAGGGCCACCTCCTCCTAGAGGGTGGCTGTGGCTCAAGAGGTAGGGCAGTCGTCTCGCTGACCAGCAAGTTGGTGGTTCGACTCCCGGTCTCCCCGCATGCCTAAGTGTCCCTGAGCAAGACACTGAACCCCGAATTGCTCCCGGTGGCTTGATTAGCGCCGTTGTGTGGCAGCTGTCGTCATCGGTGTGTGCGTGAATGGGTGAATGGTGGTATGACCTCCCTGTAAAGTGCTTTGGAAAAAAGCGCTATATAAATACAGTCCATTTAGAGAGCCTCATCCTCCTACAAGGCCAACTCCTCCTAGAGAGCCTAGTCCTCCTACAGGGCCAACTCCTCCTAAAGAGCCATTTTTTAAATTTTTGTGCAGCGATGGTCAGACGAGCTAGAGAGTGAATGGGGAGAGGGAGAGGAGCTAGCAAAACAAAGCAGTGAATCAGAAAATTAAAAGGCATTTTCTGATTGTTTCCTGGTGGTTACTCTCTAAAGCACAAATACACATGGCCACACCTCCGCAGGGACCCACGGGAAGGATTCTGGGTGGCCCCTCCACCCTGCACCTTGGGTGTGCAGCTAAGCCCCGCCCTCGGTCAAACAGACAGACGCAGAGACCTGACACCAGATGCACTTGAGCAGTTTTGCTGTGTTTCCACTATTGGAACCTATTGATGAGCCGTTACTTTGAAAGGCTCTGTTGAGGTCCCTAGTGAACAGAGGCGGGACCAAACAGTGACGTGTAAACACTGCAGACTAGTGACTGGTCAGAGAAATGATGTCATCAACTTGCGAGATGTCCTGGATTTTTAAAAGCAACATTATTTAACGCTAAATGCTACTTTACTGTATTTACTGTACTAACTAAAAACAGCCACATACTGAGAATCAAGAACAGCAGAACATTGATGTCCTCTACTGGTACCATGTCGGTTGCTGATGATGTCACAGCAGTGTAATGAGGTGTCACTATGACAACCAGCTACTCTGAGAGGGGAACATCTGCTGTGGAAAACCAAGCACCAGGTACCAAAAGCAAGTAGAGTCGAACTGGTGCCAGGTGATGGAAAGGGGGCTTATGAAAGGGAAGGAGCCATAAGATCCAGCTCGTCTCAAACTCGGTGGTTGGTTTTGTCTGTGAAGTTGTTTTGCATGTTCTTGCGCTCTTCTTGCATCTCTTTGTGACTGTTTTCTTCTCTTTTTATGTTGTTGTTAATTGACTTTCCAACAAGTATTATTAACACAGTTCTTAAAGAGGCTCTGGTCGAGCTTCTCAGAGAGCGAGTCGTCTGTCCCGCTGTCCCAGCTGCCGCCTCACTGTGGTTACTCTGTTCAGAACTCATGGAGAGACCTCAGTCTGACGGCTCAGTATGACGCCTGCCATGTCACACAGGAGGTACAGAGCCAGGCCGTTTAATCCCATCAGGTTCCAGTGCACACATTAGTTTATCACTGCCAACTTGAACCAGGTAGCCAGTGGTCGCTCAGGGTTTCTGCACGTTTTCACTACTGCATCCAAGTTCACTTTTTAGGCACTGTAAATGTGAAAAGACTCATTTTCCCCTTAGTCAGTACAGAAGGTTTCCAGAGGTTTTACACATTTTATGTTTAAGAATCGTCTCTGTTTCTCATCAGTCTACACACAGTGCTTCAGAATGACAAAGTGAAAACAGGTCTTTGGAGCGTTTTGATGCAGAAGAGCCATACAGAATGCAGAAGAGAGGCCAGATAATGAAATCAGAGGTAAAGAGTCGCACTGAATGTTAAAATGTTCTGGTTAGGTGTCAATGTTTCTGCATCTGAGTGATTATTTGACATGTTTTATGTGGCAAGGTGTGTTTAATGTGTAGTGCCCATGTCTTGACCTTGGATCTCCACAAGGGGGCAGACACCTGCATGGCCTGCTGTATATTCTCACACAGTTAAATGAATCCCTCATCATGTTACTGAATAGAACCATTGAAGTAGAGGGAGCTCCTCTTTGGCACTCGGATCACCTCAGAGCCAATGTGAACGCTCTGCAGCCTTGGCCTGGTGTCGGCCGCTGTTCATCCCAAGTGAAGGGGGAAACTCGGCCAAAACAAGGCTTGACAACATTTGTCTGACAAATTAATTCACAAAGAAAATCAGAAAGTTTGATGATGATGGGCCACAGAATGGAGAAATCAAATGATCAGATTGTTGATAACACAGGCTTGTTTTTTAAAACTGTTTCAGATCAAAACACCACAGCTCAGGGATGATGTGTGTCTGTGTGTTAGTCAATCTGACAGACGTGTTGGGGACTCGTCCTGCTTTTGGGTCAAAAAGCAAGTTTAATGTAAGTCGCTAGATTTAGGTTCAGGTTTAAGGTTAGGGTGAGAGTTAGGCAAATAGTGATTATGGTTACTGTTCGTGTTGAACGTGTTCACGTAAATTGAAAAGAAAAGACTAAATATAAAGATATTTCACAGTGTGAAATTTATTATGCATTAACGTATCAAAATAAGCATGTGCACATGGATCCCATCTGTTTAGGATAAACAGAAAAGACTAACTTCAACTTAGCAGTACACAACATTTATATGAAAAAATGTTACTCTCTGATTGGTCCAAAAACTGTTGGGGAGGAATTGTGGTTTAAACTTAATGCTCCCAAGATTGGTCCTTCAATCCATCCATCCTCCAATCATCCTCTCTGATCCAATGGTTGTAGA